GTGGTGCCCCTGCAGCCAGGGCAGCGGGAATGGATGGGAGGGATGGCAGTATTGGCCTAAGTCCCACATTGCTCTCCCCGCTGCCTGGCCAGGGCTTGCGGGCACGCAACATCATCCATGCCAAGATCGAGGAGAACATCCGTGCCAAGATGGCCCGCAAGGAGCCTGAGGGTGGCTACAAGGATGCGCTGCAGCTGCTGATGGAGCACACACAGGGCAACGGGGAGCAGCTCAACATGCAGGTGAGGTTCCCCAGGGCCAGATCCATCCCTTTCCCCTAGGCCCTCTGTCAGCAGCATCTTTTGGGGCCAAAAGGAGAGAGCAGGAGGCTAGCCCCTCTTCCCATGCAATAAACCAGCTTGTGTAGTGCACTGGGGTGTAGAGGCTGCACCCAGGCTGTTGGATGGGGAGCACAGGACCAGGGCCACGTCCCCAGGGAGCATAAGCAGCACCCCCATCCTGGCCCCTGGGTGCCTGCTCCAGCCTGGGAGTGGTGCACGGTGATGTGGTGGTGGTGGAGTGGGCCTGGTGGAGATATTATATTCAAGACCTGTTTTGTGTTTCTCTGTCTTGTGCATAAGGAGCTGAAGGAGTCTGCCACAGAGCTGCTGTTTGGGGGCCATGAAACCACTGCTAGCGCTGCCACGTCGCTAATTGCCTTCCTAGGGCTCCACCATGATGTCCTGCAGAAAGTGAGGAAAGAGCTGCAGGTGAAGGTGTGTGCTCCCCCAGAGCCATTTCACAGGAGCAGGCAGTGGGAAGGTACCTCCAGGAGAGGTGTCCCAGACAGGGCTCCCCTCGACCCAGGTGGTGCCTTTCTTTTAGGGGGTGGCAGGAAAACATCACTCGCTGACGGCCAGCTGCTTTGCAGTGCCAGGAGCCCTGGCTACCTGCTCCATAGAAGTCATGGCAGCATCTTCCTTTCTAGGGGTTACTGTGCAGTCCCAACCAAGAGAAGCAGCTGGACATGGAGGTCTTGGAGCAGCTGAAGTACACGGGCTGTGTCATCAAAGAAACCCTCCGGTTGAGCCCTCCTGTTCCTGGAGGATTTCGAATTGCACTCAAGACCCTTGAGCTAAATGTAAGCGGGGCTTGGGCTCGGCTCCTCAGCACAGCTGCAAAGAACTAGTGCGTTCACATAGCCTATCTGCCTTAGCGTGACCTGCAGGAAGCCCGGAGGGGAGGTGGGGTGCACCGATGTCTCCTGTGCCGACACTTCACCTTACTTAACGCAGCAAGGCGCTTCATGTCTCCTTTCTCTTCTTTTGATAGGGTTACCAGATCCCTAAAGGTTGGAATGTTATTTACAGTATCTGTGATACCCACGATGTGGCAGATCTCTTTACCAACAAGGATGAATTTAACCCAGATCGCTTCATGTCTCCATCTCCAGAGGATTCTTCTAGGTTCAGTTTCATTCCTTTTGGTGGGGGCTTGAGGAGCTGCGTGGGCAAAGAGTTTGCAAAAGTCGTTCTAAAAATATTTACAGTGGAGTTGGCTCGGAGCTGTGACTGGCAGCTGCTGAATGGACCTCCTACAATGAAAACGGGCCCCATAGTGTACCCTGTGGACAATCTGCCTACCAAATTCATAGGGTTCAGCGGCCAAATCTGAGAGCTAAACGCTTGCCTCGGGCTGGATTTCTATATAGCTTCTAATATGTACATAGCAACTTTTTATAGTAACAAAGGCCTTTAAATATTTAAACTTGTAAATGTACAATAGTTATTTATGTCTTCTAAATATTTCAAAAGGCTATGATATTTTTTTCCCCAAGCACTACAATTATGGGTCTCTGATTCATAATTAGATAATGTTATTTCTATAGAAATAAGTTTTCCCCTATTTAAAAATCATATTGAAAGCTGGCCAGCTAAGCATTTGAAGACATTTCACGATGGTGTATGTATTAAGAAATATTCTTAAAGGCATTTGAAACAATGGTAACTAGCTACTCATCCAAATTACCTAAAATGGTTATTGTTTGAGAATGTTTTCAGTATCATTTGTGTCTAGATCTTATGTTTAATGTGTGAATTTTAAGTTTGATAATAAAGTTTATTTTTGATGATCCTCTGTATGAAGATCTACGTGTATGGTAGAGAGTAGCTTAACCAATGGGCCTAAAGGGTTTGGATGTAAAGTCAGATCTGCCTTCATGAATGAGCTATTTGCTATTTCTGTGCTCATAACTCTCCCCTGCTTCCCACCCCCAATGCTGTTCTCACTTGTGAATAGTAAATTGTTTTAAGTTTTAACCTGTAAGTGGCAAGAGCAATGCAAAAAACACACACTCACTGAAGACAGTATGGAGTGATAGCAAGTGCTACAGGTTTCCTTATCAGGCACATGATCTGGAGCCATTGTAAATGAGAAAGTAAAGGGAAGCAGAAGAATAATGTGTAACATGAGTCTTTCTCTGTAGCTAGAGAAAATAAGTTGAGGAAAAAAAAATTCCATAAAGGTCCTCTCCTCCCATATTACTGCTGACCTGCGTAAACAGACCACTGGATCTTGTTCTGTGTTGAGTCTGCTGGTTATGAATCTTTACTTACGAAGGTGTCTTTTATCAGCTGGTAGAGCAAATAAAATCTGCTGTGATGTCTTCTTGAAACGCGACAGCTCTGACTAGGTCAGAGATAGAGCATGCATTTGGTTTAAGAACTTCTTTCCTGGAATTCAGCAAAGTGAAAACTAAAAGGCAGGCACTAATGTGAATTGATTAACAGGGAATCAACCGTTGAGATGCAATTCCCCGGGGGTGTGTAAGCAGGGCAGATAAAATGCCCTAGGCGTGACCCCTGTTTTGGCTTAACCATGAGGGGTTTTGTGCTCTTCTCCCCCCACCCCCCCTTACTACACCTATTAGTCTTCCCTCAAAAGTCAAACAACATAGGCTGGCTCTATAAACATCTACAAAGTAAACCAATGTAATTCAGTGTCATGAACACTTATAGCGCCATATAGAATAATTTAATTTTTTGTTTGCTCCTGGAAAACAGTCACTTTTTCATTATGTTCTCCCAAGGTCAAAATTAAGGATGGAGTTAAGTTGCTCAAAATCACTGCAGGTCTTTAATAGCATCTATATCTATGAGGTTTTGGCTTTTCTTTTAAGGAGTGTTTCTGTAATACATTTGATATGTTTCCAGCTAGCATTTTAAATATATAAGCTTCTAATGTAAGACCTTAGATACAACCTACGTATGAGTATAACTATCAAGACTTTTTCATATTCAATTTTTTGTAGTCTGAAAATACAAAAGGTACTCTTTTTAGATTGTGTCTGAGTCTTCTTGGCAATGTTTAAAATCTTAAATAATTTTTGCTATGCAAACCTCTTGTACCATTATGTTTTTCAGGGATTTGATGAATAATCTCAGTTTAAGACCCCTTTATTACCAATATAGTAGCAGAAAATTGCAAACCCTGATCCTAATTTGGAGGTGATCTGAAGTCTGGGCTCTTGTCTTGGTATCCCTCCTTAACATTTTCTTCTTTAACATTACAACATTCTGCAAACCCAAATAGATGCTGATATTCTTTAAATGTTTTGTTTATTTTTAATTGAAGTCTTTTATATGTGGGAACTTTTTGCATGGTCTTCATATTAGTTTATATTTTGTTTTTATAAAGAATGGGAATCTGAGTGCTGTCTGGAGAATATGGAGAATATGAACGCTTTTTCACAGTGTAAGTCTAAGGTCATACATGCATTTCTCTGTTTCCTTTTTTATTTTTGAGTCAAGTTTGCAAGGCTTTTATGTTTGGAGAAAAAAAGTCATATGCTTAATTTGATTTTGTCTGGACATCTGGGGGCACATCCTCAGCTGATGTAAATCATGACAACATAACCTATGTTAGGCACTGCCCCTGTATAATTTATCTCTGCAGATGAACGGTCTGTCACTGCTGTGTAATTTAGGCATCTTGGAGTTAGCTTTAAACAAGCTATCCCAAGAAATGGTAGCAGCGTAGCTGCAGTAATATGGAGCTCGGTGTGGGTTAATTGCTAAAATATTTGCCCAACTTCATGAGCAGGTTTTACAACCCCTGCTAATCTCCTCTATGCAGCTGTATCTTGATGGCTTAGATGCTGGCTGCAGACCAGTTTCAGGTGAGCTCTGGTGTGATTGTATGTGGCTTTGCCTGCTCAGCAGCGGCTGGTGTGGGCACCCGCTGAGACTGTAGCTGCTGTTTAGGAGTTGACTGGCTCCGGCACTCCCAGCCCCTACTCCTTTTATTATGCTGGATCCAGGAACTGATCTTGCTGCAAAATTATCCACCAAGAACCCCATTGTTTTTCAGGCACACCAGGTCCTCGCTCCAGCTCTCTGCGTGAACGTTGTTCGGGCTGGGGTGCTGCAGCGGAGACGGAGGTGGCAGGAAGGGGCAGCAGCTGCTTCAGCCTGCGCCGCTGCTAACAGGTAGTCCCTAGAGCCGTGCTCGAACTTTCCTTTTGCAAATGTTACCGTCTGTTACTGTAAGTGACTGGTGCTCCAAGGCTCACAAACTGAAACACATTAAGGGGCCAGGTTTGGTGGGGAGTGCTCACTCCCTTCTTGAAACTGCGCCTTTTGGGGGTATTTTGTATTCCTCCTCTTAGTTAACCTGGCATTTAAAAGAAAAATCTTTGACTAGGTCTCTCTCTAAAAAAATGCACATGATTCAGCAGGTGTTATGCTTTGGTCCTGGTGTAAAAAGCTATGATTTATGTGTAGCATGCTGGTTCTTCTCTGAGGGTCAGGTGGGTTACTGGAACCCAAGCTTCTCCTAAACCCATGTGAATAATAGTTCTTGCCAGCCAGCAGCATCTCTGGTGCTTAGAATTTCTGAAGTCTCTATGTGATGCTAAATGTGTGGTTCTTAACAACACACAGTTATATCCATTCTTGATTAAAAATGACATCAAAGAATGACATTGGTGTAAATTGACATTGAGAAATACTACTTGATAAATTCCTGATTGAAAGACAAGAGTATTTCCAGATAAGGTCAGAACAGGTAACTGAATTTTGGTGATGGTTATATGAGTAAGGAAAAAATGTGCAAATGAATGCTGAAGACTCATTGGAAATAAAAAAAATATTGCTTGATTAAAAATAATTTGACCAGATTTATTTATTTTGTCCTAGTTTCACTAGGACATGTTACTTTCAGTTGAGCCGCAAAAGGATTTTTTCTTTTGGTTCATAAAAGCACCTATTGAAGGGACAGTATCATTTGAAGCCTTGTATACTTAAGGTTTGCACTTGCTTTTCTGACATTTATTTTATTTTGTGCCTTTACTACAGCAGTCTTTTCCTGGACCTTGCAAGGTGAGAGGCTGACAAAAAGGTTGCCCTTCTTTCTACCCCATTTCAATCTACTGTGCATTTTCTTATTTTATTCTGGTCAGTGATTTAGAATAACCTTTGGAGAGGTACCAAGAAAAATACTTAATAATATGTAAAATACTCCATCCTTGACTTTCAACTGGTACTTTCCTAAGTGCTATAGGAAGTTTTAAAATCTGTTTTTACAAATCTGCTTCTAGTCATCTTTGAGAATAGAACACTGCTGTGTTTTGTTAATTCTACACATTGGCAGAGGTGTTCAGGGTGGATGCTGATAAAAGAGTATGCCCCAGTCATTCAAAACTGATATGCATAAAATTAGACCCCTAGATCCGCCTCTCTCCTTTTTTTAAGCATTAGAATTGATTTTTATGAAGTATAAACTCTCAAAAATTGCTGTCTGTCTCAAAGGGAGCTGCACTGCTTAGGCTCCCTGAAAATCCAACCACTTTTGACTTAGTCCCGAATACAGATTAAGTAGCCTAAATGCAAGAAACCCATTGCAGAATTTCTTTACCTTAAAATTATTACATGCCATCTTTCCTAGAACAGTCTAACAGGATCCTATACAAGCCTACAGGATCCTATACAAGGCTGTGTCTGCTGAACATTCACGTAAAACAAACTTCAATCTATTGACTTTTGGCAATGTTTTTAAAATTATAAAACGCAGTCACAGATCTTGTGTCTGGGACATACTGCTCAGTAGGGTATGTTCCAGCCCCAAATTAGTTACTTTATTTATGGCTTAAAGGTACTATGTTGCATGTAGTTGTCTTCTCTATTATAACAAAAAAGAGTGGGTAGTTTTGGATAGCATTTGTTAATCCAGATAGTTTTGTTTGCCAGGTGGCTTGTATTGTAAATTCTCTGTCAAGTTATACATCCAGCATGCAATGCAAAACATATACAGATTAGCAGCAAAGATTCGAAAAGTTTATTAGTTGCAACCATTAGAGTGATAGATTAGGAGAAAGGAAACATAACTGGCAGCAAGTTTAGAGAAGGCTCATTACTAGACTGGCTTGCTTCACTTGTTTAATAATGTCTTATGAAAAATGTTATATGAGAAGTCCAATGAATAATGCAGCCTTCATTAAGTTATGTAAATGCATGTAACTTCGTGGGTGGGTTAGAAATAAAATATTTAACAAATCTGTTTACATCCAGAGAGTAAGAGCAGCGGAGACAGCTTTTAAAGAATCTCAGATTAAAATATTTAAAAGGTGACAGACAAGAGAAGTTTGGTAGTAGAACATAACAGTGCTGTTTTAATACGTGTTTACAGCTCGCCTTGCAGTTGTAACATAGGCAGCGCAACATGTTAAGTATTCTTAGTTAACTAAAGTGTTATTTGTTCCTTTATCAGCAGTCCCAACAACGCCATTTCACTTGTGTATGCTGTTAGTGTCCCAGAGACCCATGCAGAACTTGTGTGATTTGCAAGGCTAGAAGGATCATTTTAGCAAAAGTGACTTACGATGTACTTGTTTGCCAGGTCATTTTGTTCACAAACACACAATCGTTCATACACTGGTTGATTTCAACGCTTTTTTTTTTTTCCAATTTATGACCGTTTAGGAAAGCCTATGTCTCCATTAAGTTTACACTGCCATACAGGATAACTGCCACAAGATGAGAAAATTATAAACCAAGAACTAAATCAGCTATTGACAACATGCTTTCCTACCACACGCACAAATGCCAACGTTTCTTATGCCTCTCCCAAAACAAA